AGCTAAGGGGATAATCAATAAACTGGTCAGAGCTCAGAACATACAATAATAGTTTAGATAAAAGTGTGTTTCTACAGAGAGGTCACTCCCTTCTGGTTTCCTCATTTGACAGTAAAATATATGAAAAGAACAAACAAAGACCTTCTTAAAAGTCAGCTTCATGCCTGTCTGAGAAAAGTGTATAAAGCATGTAGTGAGGGGTTTTACAGTCTTAAAACATTTATAATAAATGTAAAAAAGAAATCAAGTTGGTTACTTCATGGATTTCACCTACCGCGGGTTACTTTTAAAGCGTAACTCCTGCGATAAACGAGGGACTGCTGTATTATTAATAGTAGAGTCCGGGACATCTACTTGATCAACATCAACATTGATTATTATGCACTGTTATTTTTAACAACACTTTTTTCCACTACTCATGATGGGGCCTTCATCTGGGTCGAAATTTTCTCCAGGACCCAGGTGAGATTGACTACTTTTTTCTTTTTAAATATTTATTTATTGCTATTTCACACATATTATGACTAATATGTAATTTCTTCTACGTCTTCTTCTGTTTTTCCGGCAGTTGGCAACCAATTTAATTACAGCTGGTAGTTGTACTCCCCTCTAGTGGTAGAGATTGTAATTGTTCTGCCCGTTACTAGCCCGTACTTTGAGTACTAATCAGGTGGAACCAGATAATTTTCCAGGCATACCTGATAATTTCTTGTGGCACAGTGGTTTGGAAACACTGGTATAGATCATATTTTAATAATAAACTGCTTAAATGGCATTTGAATGTGGTTAGTTTCTTGTTGTTGACTTATGTATGTATGTATATATATGTATGTATTGTACTATTCTTAGTTAGTGTATTGTCTGTCTTGTCTTGATGTTGGTTTATAATGGAGCACTGTAACAAAAAATAATTTCCCCCAGGGATCAATAAAGTATTCTGATTCTGATTAAATGCATTGATGTATAGTTAGTGGTCTTTTGGCCTCACATGTATTATGTCTGATGTATTATAATTTGGTGCTATATAAATAAAATTGAATTGAATTATTGGAAAATTATTAATGATAGATCTGCATCGAGCATCGAGGCACACCTTGAAACATGTTAAATAAAAGTTTAACACTTTGGTGCCACTGCAAAAACGTTCCATGACTGTATAGACTCAGAAAACTTGTTGCCTCAAAGGTTTTATAGAACATACCTGCATGTCCACGTGTTACCTTCCTGAAAATTACAGATAGGCCCACTTGAAGATATCAAACATTTACATATACAGTATTCAGTTTGAAACATTTTCATGTTTAACAAGTTTTCGTAAGATCTCCAATTAGAGAAGCTAAGGGGATAATCAATAAACTGGTCAGACCTCAGAACATACAATAATAGTTTAGATAAAAGTGTGTTTCTACAGAGAGGTCACTCCCTTCTGCTTTCCTCATTTGACAGTAAAATATATGAAAAGAACAAACAAAGACTTTCTTAAAAGTCAGCTTCAGTCAACAGAGGAGAACACAAGCTGTCAGGTAAGATATGCATCATTAATGCTAAAGTTATATTCTTGGATATGTTTATATTATATCCATTATTCTAAAACTTAGAAATGATGATTTAAACCGTTTTTAAGACATGATAGTTTTGAAATATTTAAAAAGTATTGAATAGAATTATTTTGGATATGCATATAAACTATATACTTATTAGACTGGAGAAGAGAAACCTTAAATGATAAACACTTGATATTAATTACAGTACAATAATAATCATGATGAGTATCTATTATACAGAAGAATGGAAGAAACCTGTTTACTGCTCATCCTGCTGCTCTCAGGTCAGTAATATTAATATCTTAAACATTTGAAATGTAGCCTATAAACACACAGAGGCAGACTGATGTCATTTGAGTAATCAGATTACATGTACAGTTTTTTTTAATTAACACATCAACCACAAGAACAGTCAGAAAATCTTTATCTCCTCCTACCACAACACCTGCATTAATGTAAAATTATCTTCCTTTGTTAATATTTTGTTGTTTTGTTGTTATTTATAATGATATCTATTGAACCAAATAGATTTTTAAGCTTTGGCTGTTGATTCGTGGCAATTCTACAGCTTTGGGAATAAATATTTTTTCTCTTCACTTCTTTTCCTCCTCATTCTTATTATTACTGTTATTAACAACAAGCCAGCGTAAACCTATAGTTTGTCCCAAGCCCAGACAAAATGCTGAGAGTTGCATCATTATCGACACCTGACGTCAAATCACTGCCAAATAAAATGTGGATAAGAATTGAATTTCCATACTGGATGTGCCCTGAGTTAACACTTGCTAATAACAGCGCCATTACAAACTGCTGGGCTTAGACAAAGGAGGAGGACAGGGAAATATGTGTAAATAGAGAGAGGTAAAGGCAGTGTGGTGTGTAAGAGTAAGGATTTTAAATATAGGGACTATGACTGTAAAGGGAAAGAACTGGCTGCAGATAATGAATGTACATACATTGGTATTGATATTAAATAAATTAGGAATTGTAAGTGTAATTAAAAGAAAATAGTGCTGCTAAATTAAATTAAGTTAATCTAACATTTTCTTTTATTTGACTTAGTTTAATGTATTATTTCTGATCAACTTAGTAGTAATCTGCTACTTAAAAATATAATTAAGTTTGACTTATTTATTTCTATGATATGGAGGTCATCTTTGAAAGGTTTCGATTCCTGGGGTCAATTTGACCACAAACATAAAAGACTTTTCTGAGCAAAGGAACTCGAGTAAAAGTAAAATGTCCTTGTCTTTTATCAATTGCTCTCAGGGTCTTGCATTAACATTATGCACAAAGTTTAACAAATAGTTTTTGATGTCGTTGTTTTTACTTCTGTTTTGAAACCTTACATAATGATTTTAAAAACAATTCATGAAAAAAAATAATGAATTTACTGGAGCATTAAAATGAAGCATGCATCAACTGCAATCTTTAAAAAGACTCAACTGACTTTTCTTTATTTAGCTTTTCAATGCTTTAAATGCATTTCTCTAATAAAAAGCTAGTGAGGAAATTTTCGGTCACAGTAAAGATTTAAAAAAATGCAGTTGTTAGATAAGAGTCACAAGATGGTTAAAGCAAAGAAAAGAGAAATGTACAAATATACAAACCAGTTTTAAAAAGTAATATCCAATAAATAGGGTTTTATATATATACAGTTGGGTTGAGAGTGATGTTGCACTTCAAAACCATAGTGGAAAAAGTTCCTCAAATGACTTACCAGTGAACAAAACAGGGGTTCTTATTAATTCATCATTCATCTTTACACAGTTCATGTGCCGATATAGCTCCAGTTACAGGAAATGATACTTAACTTATTAAAGGAGCTTGGAAAGAAAAGCGTCTGGACTTCTTTAAGTTGCTTGAAGGCATTTCACCTCTCATCTAAGAAGCTTCTTCAGTTCTAGGGTTTTGTGGCACATCCAGACATTCCTGTCTGTCTGGCCACATAATTTCATCTACATCACAACGGATATCATCCCTTGCGATGCAACGAGGAAAGTATCTCCTGGAGTGGCGAATCCACCCTCTGCATGACTCTGTAATGTCGTCTCATGCTGCATCCATGGCTGCAAGCAGGGCCTTCCACCTCCAGGCAGAGAAAATCTCCTCTTTTGGATTAAGGAATGGGGAGCAGGGAGGGAGAAGTTAAACCAGCATTGTGTCATGTGCTGCAAACCACTTCATGACCAGATGTGAGTGGTGAAAACGGACATTATCCCACACAACAACATTCATGTTGAGTTGGCCTCCACCCCTCTCATTCTCAGGGACTATGTCCCTGTAAAGAGTGTCTGAGAAGTCAGGAGATGTTGTGTTTATATGGAACAAAAAGGGGAATATGGGTGAGGATGCCATTGTCTGAGTTGGCTGCACATATTGTAACATTCCCTCCGTGCCAACCTGGGACATCAGTGGTTGCTGTCTGTCCAAAGCGATTTCTTCCGCACCTTGTGCCTTTGGCCAGATTGAAACCCGCCTCATCAACATATATGAATGTGTGCAGTGGTTCCCTGGCTTCCAGCTCCAGTACACACTTTAGAGAGAGAGAGAGAGAGAAATTTAACAACTTATCCAGTGTAACATAATGCATTTTGCATGTTCTGTGAATATAGAAACAGAATTGCTAGTCTACTACATGAAACTACACAAAGTAAAAGAGTTTACAGTGCTAAACATTAGAGTATACGAGGCATGTTTTACCTGTACATACTGGTGACCGATCTCCTTCACTCTTTAACTTTTCCGTTCAAATGGCACTTTGTACAATTGTTTCATGCACATTACTTTTCTCTTGAGCACTCTGTCCATTATTGCAATTGACACAGATCCAATATTACCAAATACACCGTTATCCTCTATGACAGCGCTTTGAATTTCTTTCAACTTTATTGCATTGTTTGCAATCACCATTGCACAAATAGTTTCCTCTTACTGCGGGGTAAAAGGGGGCCGTCTTCCACCTCTGCGAGCCTGTCTTTCAATCCTTTGTGGTGCAAATTACAGTAAAACTACAGTAATGCACACTAAACATGAGATATTATGAAATGTTGGATTACTGTCCCATACTATACATACCTGTTCTGCCTATGAAATATTTGAATGATTGAATTCACAGTGGTTCTTCCAACATTTGGTTGCACCCCCCGACAAGCCTCATCCACTTTGAGGCCGCAATTGACAACATGGACAACAAGTGTTACCCCAATTTCATTAGGAATCTGCCTATGTATGTGGCGTCTTCCCCTGTTTTGTTCCCCCTGCATCCTCACCCCTCTTCCATGATGCTGACCTTCCATTTCTGTGTCACAGAACTGTAGAAATGGTACACACTAGGTCCTACTCAGTTCATATATGCTTGCCAGTTGAGAGTTCATGGGATTGATCCATGAGTGACTGTGAACAAGAGGCTTGTCATTGGTTACAACTAGAGATGGCATGATACCACTTTTTTATGTCCGATACCAATATCATAAATTGGTGTATTTCAAAAATAAGTCTATGAAGGCACTCAAAATAAATTTCCTGTGGTGGGAAACTATTTTGTGCAACTTTTTGGTATTTACAGTTTTGAGGGATAAACCTCTTAAATTTCTCTAAGTAGGAATATATGTAAAAAAACAAAACAAAAATTATTTTCAGTTTTTTTGTACTTTATTATTCTTTTTTTTGCAATTTATGTAGTTACTATGCACTTAATGCATACATATTTTTAAAAAATGGGCTATAACAGTTGTATTGATGTGTAGAAACTTGAAATGTTCTGTTAAATATCCCAATTCTTTGATCTTTGGGCTGAAGGAAGAACAACACTCGGTGTATAAAAATGCTCAATCAACAATCTGTCTAAAGAGCTTGTAAAGAAAAGCGTCGGGACTTCTTTAAGTTGCTTGAAGACGTTTCACCTCTCATCCGAGAAGCTT